AGCCCCACAGGAGAGACCAGCCCCCCAGCCCCACACGCTGCCGTGGCGGGTGAGACCCCGAGGCCTGGGGTGCCGTCTTGCCTGTGACTGGGGGGCAGGGGTGGGGGTGGGGGTGAAGGGGGCGCCTGCCGAGGGCAGAGAGTCCTGGCCCTGCTCCTCCTCTGACTGTTCGGCGAGAGAGCAAACCTCCCTTCGCGCAGACCTTGGGGCTGGGCTCCTGGTCCTTGGAGCCCAGTGTCCGCCCGGCCGGGCAGCGGTGGGCGCCATCCCAAGGGCCTCGGTGTCCACTGTTCCCGCTCACGTTTTTCAAAACGAGGTGCAGACGGGGAAGCCAGACTCTCACCCCACCCCCCACCCCCTGTGCTAGCGCGAGGGCCACAGAGATCCAGGGCTCTGGAAGGCCCTGCACGAAGGGAGCGCAAGCCAGCCGCCTGGCGGTGACCAATGGGCGCGGGGCCGGAGCCTTAATCAATGGTGGTCATCGCCGCGTGTCAGCCGGGCGGGGGGTCAGCAGGACGGACCCACGAATTGTTTGGAAACACAGTCAACAGTTTTGTGTCCGTGAGGAAGCCACCGTCACCTGGAAACCACCTTGGGAAACATGCGGAAACAGATGCTTCTGCTGCCGGGAGACGGACCGTTAATCCCCGGTCCGGGCGCGGCCTCGGCCAGAGAACAGAGCGCAGACTCGTTCCTGTTTGAGGGCAAGTTGGGGGTGTGGGGGGGAGGTGCCACCGGAGTCGGGCTTGCCGTGGGCACAACACAAAACCTACTTGGAAATGGCCCCGCAGGTGTGGCTCAGTGGCTAGAGCGTCCGCCTGTGGACTGAAGGATCCTGGGTTCGATTCCAGTCGAGGGCACGCACCTGGGTTGCAGGTCCCCCGCCCTGGTTGGGGCGTGTGCTGGAGGCAACCAATCGATGTTCCTCTCACATCGATGTTTCTGTCTCCCCCTCTCCCTTCCACTCTCTCTAAAAGTCAATGGAAAAATACCTTCGGGTGAGGATTAACCAAAGACAAAAAATAAAAATTAAAAATAAAAGGCTACTTGGAAGTGAAGAGACTGCCTTAAGGCCCCTCTGTCCGGGCGCCCTGCCTGGGGACCTGCAGGAGGGGCTGGGGGAGCCTGTGTGCTCAGCGCACGGTGGACCTGGCAGCCCCCCACCCCCCCAGACCCTGAGGTGCTGGGACTGGTCTGACCACGGGCCTCCAACCCACTGTGCACCCCAAGGGGCTGGGGAGGCGGGGCTCCCAGGGGGCAGGGGGCAGGTCCCGGGCGACTGCTGGGCTGAGCTGGGGTGAGGCTACAGACAGCCTGGCTGGGGGTGGGGAGTGCGGACAAAGGGCTGCTTCAGGATCACAGGTGAGGCCGCCCACATCTGGGAGCTCTGCTCTAGGGGACACCTGGTTGTGGGGCCAGAGAAAGGCCAGGGGTGGGGTGGGTCGCTGGCCTTTAACAGCTACAATCTGGCTGCAGGAACAGAAGGCTGAGGAGCGGGACACGGTGGGCACATGGCGTGGGAGGGTGCACACGGTCCTGTGGATTCTTCCTGGGTGTTGGCGACCCAGGAGGGAGGCTAGAGGCCTAGGAAGAGGGCCAGAGGCCCAGGAGGGGGGCTAGAGGCCCAGGAGGGGGGCTAGAGGCCCAGGAGGGGGGCTAGAGGCCCAGGAGGAAGGCCAGGGCCCAGGAGGGGGGCTAGAGGCCCAGGAGGGGGGCTAGAGGCCCAGGAGGGGGGCTAGAGGCCCAGGAGGGGGGCTAGAGGCCCAGGAGGGGGGCTAGAGGCCCAGGAGGGGGGCTAGAGGCCCAGGAGGGGGGCTAGAGGCCCAGGAGGGGGGCTAGAGGCCCAGGAGGGGGGCTAGAGGCCCAGGAGGGGGGCTAGAGGCCCAGGAGGGGGGCTAGAGGCCCAGGAGGGGGGCTAGAGGCCCAGGAGGGGGGCTAGAGGCCCAGGAGGGGGGCTAGAGGCCCAGGAGGGGGGCTAGAGGCCCAGGAGGGGGGCTAGAGGCCCAGGAGGGGGGCTAGAGGCCCAGGAGGGGGGCTAGAGGCCCAGGAGGGGGGCTAGAGGCCCAGGAGGGGGGCTAGAGGCCCAGGAGCAGGGAGGAGGAGGGACCAAGGCTTGGGGTGGGGCTTCCTGGTGGGCAGGGGTGTGTGGCTCCTCAGAAGGCCGGGGCTGGGTTTGAGCAGGGTTTGCAGGGGGAGAGGGGCCTGGGGTGAGCATCCTGCATGGTGGCCTGTGGCACATCCAAGCTCTGAGTCTCATCCATGTGAGGGGTCACTGCTGGCCCCCCGCGTCCGGCGGGTGGATGTGATTGACAGAATGGCTCTGACACCTGCCCAGCCAGTCCAGGCAGCGGGGCTCTGGCCCCGGGGGGACCACCTGGATAGCGGCCCCGAAACGCTCATCAGGAGACGTGCAGCATTTACTCCCGGGCGAGAGGGGCCTCACTTGGGGGCGGCCGCTCCGTCTTCCACGTGTGACTAATTTTTAATCTCGGTGACGGCGGCAATGCCGCTGTCGCTGTGCTGACGTGGGCTTTCTGAGAAGCGTGTGATGGATGCTGCCCGCGGCGCCCCCGGGGCTGCTGTCCCCGTGTTGCTCTGAATAAATGGGTTCGGCCTCCTCGGCCGTGAATCCGGGCGCAGTTGTGGATGAGGTGCCGTCACCTGACAGACGGCGCGGCCATCGC